GAACATTTAATGTAACACATACAATGCTACATAGAAACTACACCTCAAATTTTAAAGAGCTATAAAAAAACTTTTTTTTTTTGGTACCAGGGATCGAACTCATGACCTTGCACTTGCAAGGCAGGTGCCAGAACCACTGAGCTAAATCCCAGGCCCTATAAAAAAAACTTTTAATAATTAGTCCAAAGATGTCTTAAGTGGTTGTATTAATGTAAAATTCTTAGTATGTGTTTGTGGGCTGAATTAATTTAAATAGGGTCCAACTATATGTACAATTATAACATTTATATTAAAAAGAATAAGACTTTTAAAAAGCATTATAGTCAAGTAACGGAATGGACCTACCTACTGTATTTATAATTCAAGCAATTTAAACTAGTATTTTATTAACCTACTGATTTTTTTGAAACTTTTTTTTTGCGTAAATTCTTTTATTGGTACATTTTAGGTATAAATACGTTTACATTTATCATTGGGTGATTGTACCTGTACATGATGTATCTTGGTTCTCATTTTTTCCCCATTCCCTGTCTTGAAACTCTTATTTGATGTATATTAGTTATAAAAATAAAAATTTTAACATATACTGGATAATAATGCTACACAGAAATTATACCACCAAATGGGGAAACATGGGAAGGATTTCTTTAAAGTCAATAATAAGATAATCACAGCTACTATTTCATCTTCTATTCAACACTGTTCTAGAGGTCTGAGGTGGAACTCAATAAAAATGAAAGAGGTATCAGAAGCAAAAAGATTACAAAGGAAGACAGAGCTATTACATATACATAATTTATTTTTTAAAAGATTACAGATAATCAGAAGTCTAGCAAAATGGCTGAATATAAGATGAATATGAGATGAATTAATACATGCTACAAACACCTAGAAAATGTAATTAAAAAGACAATGTCATTCACATGTAATAGTGTCAGAGAATACGTACTACCTTAGGCTTTTCCTGTTATTAAGATAGTTATTTTTTATCGTCTCCTCTCCTCTCCTAGTCCCTCGGCATTGTACAAAAATAACAATCTGCCATCCAGAATACAAGGTAGATAACTGAAAGTAACCTACCACTAATCATTGTACATGGTACCACTAGCCTTGTGTCCCACTTAATGGAATAACTGTCATCCTGAATCCTGTGGTCACCTTAGTGACTTAGCTGTTATGAACATTCTTTTACATAAGTTTTTATTTCACTGGAATAAATACCCAAGAGTGCAGTTGTTGGACATATTTTAATTACATATTTGTGTATTATTCTTTTTGACTTGTAGAAATTACCTGTATTTTCTCAATGTTAATCTTTTTTTCACTTATGTGCATTAGGAAATCTATTAACACTTTATAATTTAACCTGTTTAATGTGTTAAAAAATAAAAACTGTAGGACCGGGGATTTAGCTCAGTGGTTCTGCTGCCTGCCTTGCAACCACAAGGTCCCGAGTTCAATCCCCGGTACCAAAAAAACCCAAAAAACAAACAAAAAAAACCTGTAGCTGAGCATAATGGCCCATTCCTGTAATTCCAGAATTTACAGAGACTAAAGCAGGAAGATTGCAAGCACAGGGCCAGCCTGGGTGTCTTAGCAAGATCCAATCTGAGAATTTAAAAAAAACATATAAAAAGGGCTGAGTATAAAAGTACCGTGTTTGATCCCCAGTACTGTACTGCCAGAAAAAAAGGTCTTAATTTTAATACAGTGAAAATTATTATCCTTTTTACAGTCACTTTTTGTATTTTAATTCTTCCTATTGATAGATTTAAAAAGATATCTATAGTTCTAATTTTTACTAGTATTTTGACATTCTGAGTTGAAATGTTTTAAATATATCTGAGATTCTACTTTATGCCAAAGTTCATATACACATGGCTTTGTTTTTAGCTTTGTTCCTTGGATAAATCTGTGTATCTTTGTATCCAAGTATTTACTATATTGTCTTAATTACTGTAAATTTGATTAAGTTCTCATGGCTGGTGACAGGTCTTTTTCTGCCCTTCTTCAAAAGAATCCTGACTATTCTTGGTCCTTTATTTTTTCGTACATGTTTAGTATTATCTTTTCAAAAGCCTTGTTGGATTAGGAATTCCACTGACTCTGTAAATTTACTTGCGGAAAATGAGTAATTTACGTAATTTTAATCATTTTCTCTTCACAAGCATGGCATCTCTCACCATTTATTTAGGCTCTTAAAATTTCCTTCTATAGTTTTATACTTTGTGTACACAGATCTTAATCTTTTATTAGTTTATTCCAATCTCAAATTTGATCTAAGACACTAGAATAATATAGTACATTTTGTTGTATTTTTGTTATAGATTTTAAAAAATATTAGTTAATATATCTTTATTAAGTAATAACATACAGAACACGTGATTAAAATTTTACTTTTCTTTCAAGAAATCTGTAAAAGGAAAAAAAAAAAAAAAAAAAGGAATTCCATAGTCAGAAGTCCAGCTAGGAAAAATCAATCTTTGGCAGGGAACTGACCATGAGTGTTTCAGACATATAAAACTCTAGGTCCCAACTACTTTTTGCTAGGTGAACAGAAATTTAGTTATCTGAGTGTCCAAGTCTGGTATTTGTACAATACTTTTTTGTTTCAAAAATGCTAAGACTATTGAATACTAATATAGTTTAAGAAAATAAACCTTTGATGTAGCTCTTTTACGTAAGTCTCCCTACTACAAACACTATTCTAAGTTATCTGATATTTTTTCCTTTGCTTTCCTATAGTAACCCATGTAACGACAGAAATCTTTACGTGTTTTTTTTTCCTCCTGTAGTACTACTGGGGACTAAACCCAGGGTCTACACAGTGAGCTACATCCCATTTATTTATTTAGTACCAGGGATCGAACTTGAGACCTTGCGCTTGCAAAGTAGGCAGTGGAACCACTGAGCTAAATCCCCAGCCTCCATCCCATCTATTTTGAAAATTTTTAATTTTAAGATAGGGTCTTGTGGGCCAGGGATTTAGCTCAGTGATTTTGCCGCCTGCTGCGCAAGCACAAGGACCCAAGTTCGATTCCCCGTACCAAAAAAAAAAAGATAGGGTCTTGCTAAGTCACTAAGTTGCCCAGGTTGGCCTTAAACTTGCAAACCTCCTGCCTGGGCCTCCCAGAGTGCTGGAACTGCAAGTCTACACCACCACGCCTGGCAATATATATATTTTTTTCACTTTTTTTGGTACCTGGGATCCAACTCGGGTCCTTGTGCTTGCACAGCAGGTGGCAAAACCACTGAGCTAAATTCCCGGCCCCAATATATGTATTTTTTAATGGGTAATAATCAACATTTCAGTTCTAGGTAATTTCAAAAATTTTAGTTTGAGTCTTAACCTCAACATTTTCTGCAGAAAACCTTTGTATTACTTTATTAATTGATGACTTCCTCAAATTCTATTCAAGTAACAAAAATATATTTAGATAAAATTATTATGTATAAAAATACTCTTTTCTGGCATACAAGTCACAGTCAATTCTTAAGTAAACTATGTGATAAAACCCTTATAGTAGTAATTCCTGCATCTACATTTATATTGATAAGCAGAATCTAACAAAATTAATTATGTATAAAATCTACTAATTGCACTTCTTTTTTTGGTACCAGGGATCGAACTCGGGACCTTGAGCTTGCGAAGCTGGTGGCGGAACCACTGAGCTAAATCCCCGGCCCCACTAACTGCATTTTTTTAACTAATAAAGTATAATTCTGTACCTTTGGAGTATATCCATAATTGAGTGAATCCATTTTTTCTGGGAGTCAGGAATTAAGATCTGTGTATTTGTTATTCCTATGTCAACAACACAAGTTCCAGGAGCTGAAAAAAAACTATCTTCTTCTTCATTTTCTTCGGTTATCAACCTAGCTTCTCCACCTCCAAAAACAACTGCTGAACTTAATTTCTTATGCTGAAAATGGAAAGAAACTTTTTTTTAAAGGTAATGTAATAGTCACAATTTTTCAAGTCCATTCTTATATAAGAAAAAAGGAATATAAATAGAGGAATTCATTCTATTTCCTGACTGGGTAATATGAGCTTCTATACTGAGGAGAAAAATCCCTAGGTCAGTAGTGTCCCTGTACCCTTTGGAGCCAAACCACGACACTGTTGCCCTTCCTCATCACATTTGTGACTCAGCTCTCAAAATGTGGGATTACATGCGTGATTTTTTTTCCTACAAAAGACACACAGGAGGCATTCCATAGAAATTTACTAACTGAAGAAGTTAGGACTTAAAAGTTTTGTGTCCTCTCCATTTATGTATTTACATAAACCTCAAATACATATGATCTAACTAGGTAGGTTCTAGTTCCTGGGCAGTTTTTCTTCTACTTCTACAAGAAATCCCCAAACAAAATGCATTAACAACTATCACTGAGTATCAATGCATCTGAGTTTGTAATGTTGTCTTTAGGAAAATTTAGCTTATAATATTACCTGTTTGGCATTTAAAAATACAAATGTTTTCCCTTTGAAGATTTGTTTTCTTTCCTGTCGTCCTGACAGATCAATATTTTTACTTCCAATGGCTGGTTCATCAACAGGTGGGTAAAAACTGTAAAAATAATTAAAGTATACTGTAATTATATACTATTCTGTATGTTTACTAAATTCATAAATGGAGCAATTATATCATAATATAAAAGATTAATTTACATAATACCATTTTGAAGTTTTTATTTTTGTTTTTGAGACAGGGTCTCACTACAGTTCAGGCTGGCCTTGAACTCATTATGTAGCCCAGTTTGGCCTCAAACTCACATCAATCCTCCTGCCTCAGCCTCCCAGGTACTGGGTTATAGGATGGTACCAGGAATTGAACTCAGAACCTTGCATTTGCCAGGCAGGTGCAGCATCACTGAGCTATATCCCCAGCCCTCTAAGTTGTTTTTTAATAGTGTTATCTGGGACAAAAAGATAACAAGCATCTAAATGTATTTTCTAGAAATATGGAGACAGAAGCCATACGTGACAGAACTGGTTTTTCTCAAAATAATCCAAGGTGACAATCATAACACATACTAAATGCATATGAATCAAAAGTTATCTAAATTACAAAAGGTTGAAAGGTTGTGCTAGGTCTCCTCTTGGGACCAAGTTTCACGCAGAAGACATAAAAGATGCACACAGTGGTTTGTGTTACAGGAACAGGGAACACTGAACTTGGGAACCAGCAAGTTTCATAGTGACCTACAAGCCAGCCTGTTCTTTGGCTCTGGAGGGAATCATTACCTTACCTTTCAAGATTTGTTAATCCAGAAGTTAACTCTGAGAAATGGCCTGCTCAAAGGGCTGTGGGGCCTGTGTATTCTGGCATATGCAGCAAGTTGTTTATGACTGCAAGAGACCCAGAGAAGGGTCTAGAACATTTGTTCAAAATAAATTGAGAGAGCACATCATGATACGCGGTACTTTGTAAAATTAAAAGCAAACTCCTTTTTTCTAAGTGGTAATTTTCTCACATTCAGATACATACATCTTTTGTTTTTTTGGTACTGGGGACCGAACTCTGGACCTTGCACTTTCCAGGCAGGCGGTGGAACCACTGAGCTAAATCCCTGGCCCAACATATATCTTTAATAAACTTCCCCTATTAGAGTATACATGATCTAAAGTAAATACTTCTTTTAAATGGAGTCAGAATAGCCATCTACACCAGGATGGTTTACAACAATGAGATATCACAAATCATGCCAGGTATCTGAAGCTGTAAATTTGGCTTACCCTGTTTCTTTCTTTCTTTTTTTTTTTTTCTGGTACCAGGGATCGAACTCGGGACCTTGCACAGCAGGCAGTGGAACCACTGAGCTAAATCACTGGCCCTGGCTTACCCTATTGCTTGATGACAGTGCAAACATGTAGAGATAGAGAGATACTTGTACTGAATCAGTATGTATTTTTTGCTGGATAAAGATATTATAGTATGCATCCTAATTTAAATTCAGGACTAGTGATTATGCCTTTTCCGAATAAAAAGGGGAGGTGTTTGTGTAATAAGAGTCACTGCAATTTATTTCCTTTTTGTAACTCATTACAGTTAATACTTAAAATAATTATTTTTCTATTAATAATGAAGCACTCAGTCAAATAAGTCTTCAACAAGTATACCGAAATGGAACCACATAGGTATAGGAATCTATTAAGACAAGTGATTATGTATTTTAAAATAATACTGAAAATTTGATTCTCAATTGCCATAATCAAATATGGGCTAATGTAATAGTCTTTCTTGGTCAACAGTCAAATAAAACTTACTGAACAATTTTATAGTAGAGATGTTTTATTATAGTAATGTACGTCAGTGGTGTCAGAAATTGAATCAAAAGAAACTACGCTGAACTTATAGTCAAAAACAGCTTCAAGTTAAACAGACCTGAAAATCTGAAAAAAAAAGGGGTGGACTCAATGACAAATTCTAAAATTTCCAAGATCATAAAAGACATTACATCTTTGTAAAGACATTATGTCTAAGTAAAAACTTATCAGACCCTACACCTTCAAGTAATCTAGAATTAACAATGGCTTATATCTGTAGCTGGGATTATTATTTAGACTAATTATGGACTCTCCCAGACAGGTCCATCAGTATGCTTCTGGGCAAAATGTCATGTTGAAATAGTGCAAGTCTATAGTACATAAATAAAGTTTCTTGAGGAGAGACCCATGTTTTCATATTTTCACAGGATATAAGACTCAAGATGGAAATAATCCATTTAAAAATTGAAGAATTGTTTTCCAGAGTTAAAAAAATATTAATTATCTGTTAACCAGGTTATAAAATATAAGAAATCTCCCAGATCAAACCTATCAAGAGAAAAATCTGATTTTTGGCTACTGTTAAAAGCAGATATCCACTATCAATATAATTATAAATAGTCCCTAAAAAACTGTGCACTGGGAAAAATAGCTTATTACAGCTAGTAATAGTTTAAAACTGGTCATAAAACTCTGATCTTATAAAACATGTTAATTTTTAAACCTTTTCAAATACTAAAAATTGTCCTATAAAGATGAGCTTACAAATACACAATCTGTTATGATATACTGATTATACTCTATTGACATTTTTTAAGTTCACCTGCTATTAAATTAACTACAAATATCTACCATTAAAGCCTCCAGCATTTTCATCATGCAATCTGAAAAAAGTATCAAATATTTTCCTCTTCAACCATAATTAATATTACCTCAAACCATCACTAACATAATATATACAGTAGAGAGATCCCCTAGTCTGATGGTTCACCAATTTGACAGTGTTGACAACAAAAAAAACTACTACAAATTTTCCCAAATGTTGTTGCAATTAGCAACATTTTTTTGGACAGTACTGGGGATTAAACCCAGAGTGTCTGCACTCAGTTAAATTCCATCCCCTTTTTAATTTTTCTTAAATTTTGAAACAGAGGATCCAGCCCGCGCCAAGCACACCGGCGGGGTGCTGGAGAGAGAGGTCCAGGATTGCCAGGAGCCCCACCCCATCCAGCCCATGCCAAGCACACTGGCGATGACCAGCCAGAAGGTGAGGACCCCTAGCCACTGGCCACGCCCATGGCGGTGATCCACTTAACCGCCCCCCCCCGCCCCCGCTCCCTTGGCTGCACCGCTACCTGGTTCCACACTACAAAGACAAAGGGGACACCAGACCACCGTACTGGGTAAGTTGGAGGCATCATCACCTCCCATCAGAACCTGGACTACCTTCGGGGAAAGGGCAATTGGAACCTGCAGTATAACCCTGCAGAGTTCAACCCTGCAGGAGGACAGGGAGCTGAACTTGGGACTTGCCGCCAGAAATCTGCCTGAATCCCACGAGGCTGTGACTAGCTTGCTGAGACTCATTGACTTATATCTGCACACTGCTGCCCACGTTATCTACTGTGACAGCAGAGACAGACCCTGAAGGAGGCCCTTCATTTTCATTTTTTATTTCCAAAATTATTATTATTGGGCTTTTTTGCTTATTTTTAATTTTTTTCCTACTCTTTTCAAATTTTTATTTTTCTCTTATTTTTTTTCTTTCTTTTCTCTTTCCTTTCTCACTCACTCTCTTGTTCTCCCACACTGTTCTTCATCTCCCATTTTGTTCCTATTCTGGCCCTAATTCAGATTTCTTATTTTTCTTTGATTCTCTTTTTCCTTCTCTGGCCTCACTGTTAACCTTCCCCTATCCTTCTACCTATCCCTCCCTCCCCAACTCCTTCTAACTCCCCATCCCGAAGGGTAAAGCTGCTATACTGAAGAGTTTATTCACTATAAACAACATATGTTGGGTGGGTCCTTGATTTTGATTTAATTCAAACAGTTAAAGGTGACAGATTAATAACTTTCACAAACTGTCATTTTTCTAAGAGGTACTTGATGCTATTGTGTTGCTGATTGTATCACCTGGGTTAAGGTGTTGTGATTGACCAGTCAATGGAAGTCAGTGGTCCTTCCTGGTATAATGAAAATGAGACAGCCTCAGAGTCATTAGAGACTCAAAACCTAAAGACCAGCTATATCCGGAAGACACCTCTGAGAAGCAATCATTCTATACGGGGTTGTAATTACAAGCAACAAAGATACTTACAACAAGCAATTTCGAAGTATCAACCCAGGAATTAAACCAAGGACAGTACCAAAAACAAAAATGAGAAGACATCTGAGCAAACCACAAACTCAGACTTCCACCCCACCAAGGGTAAATTCTGGGGAAAAGGAGGTAGAAAAATCTGATAATCAACAACCTGGACACCCTGAAATGATAGCACAGGAAGTAACAAAACAGATGAATGAGGCTCTAGAAAAATTTAAAGCAGAAATAAGTTCCCAGATAACTACAGAGATGGTGGGCAGAGTGAAAGACATGATTAGAGGCTCTAGAACAGAAACAGATTAAGAAAAAATAGACAAGCAGAAACATCTAGAAGCTATGAATGCCCAGTAATAAGAAAGAAATGGAAACCATGATCGCCCGACCTAAGAAAGAAATGGAGGGCCAGGGATTTAGCTCAATGGTTCCACCGCCTGCCTCACAAGTGCAAGGTCCCGAGTTCAATCCCAGGCACCAAAAAAAAAAAAAGAAAGAAAGAAAGAAAGAAATGGAGGGCCGGGAATTTAGCTCAATGGTTTTGCCGCCTTCTGCGCATGCACAAGGACCAGAGTTCAATCCCCAGTGCCAAAAAAAAAAAAAAAAAAGAAAGAAATGGAATCTGTGAAACAGATTTAAACAGATATTCAGGAGATTAAAAATTCCACTGAAAGTATGCACAGCAGATTAAGGGAATCTGAAGACAGAATATCAGATATAGAAGTCAGGATTGCAGTTAAGGACCATGAAAACAGAGATTTCTTAAAAACAGTAAGGGACCATGAGAAATCAATCCAGCAGCTGCTAGTTGATGCAAAGAAGAATAACATAAGACTGATAAGAGTCCATGAAAAAAAAGGAGAAAGTACAATTGACATAGAAAAACTGTTCACAGAATAGCTGAAAATGTCCTAGACAGAGGCAGAGAATTGAACATACAGATAAGTGAGGCATACAGAACTCCAACTAATCACGATGAAGAA